ATGTAATCTTTAATCTTAACAATAACGTTAAACAATATCGATAATTTGAACTTGTACCTAGTTTTATCTATCATTATAAGTAAGGAGGAGATTTATTAACTAAAATCTTAGAAACTAAGTAAACACTGTGCAAATATCTTCGATTTTACATGTTTAGCCACCCCGCCATTTGGCGAGGGGGATTTATACGCTAAAATTTTAATATCAGCCTCAAAACAGCAGTTTTATATTTTCTGAATAAAAACATGGATGAAATATAAGTAATAATAAATTTAGTTGTGATAACACTAACGACACACAACAATACTTTTGTTTTTCTATTTAAATAATCCTTGTTTTGGTAAATAATCTTTAAAATGTTTTTTGGAGGCATTTCCATATGATGAGCACAGACTACTATAACGTATAATTTTTATATTTTGTTTAAAAATATTCCACGCAATTTAAAAACATTATCAGTGAACGCATGTAAATATCAATATAAACAGTTTCTTTTAAGTTAATGTAGCAATTATATGAGTGACTTTTTTGTTGTTTTTTTAAATACAGTTTTTTTTAAGTGGACATCGTACGAGTGATTCTTTTTCTGTCTTTTTTCCTTCCTTTTCATACAGTGTGCTTTTTGAGAGAAAAACTAAAGCTTTAGTTTTAATATTACTTATTATGTTTAATATTTCGATTTCCTTAACACCTTTAAGAGAGAAATTAATTTTTGATCATGTTTTTTTCTTCCATAATACTCAATTAATGCAGTATCCCGCAAGAGATTAATGAAGTGTTGGTTTATATTTTCAACACTCGTGGCAACAAATCACTACTTCTACTTTCACCAAAATCCAACGATTTCAGTGCCCTCCACAGTTCCTTCTGATTTTCTTGGTTTAGTTTACTACAATAGAAAACTTTTTTTACGCTTTATTACACTTTCCATTTTATATGAGGCATTCTCAAAATTAAAAATATTATTCCATTCCATTCCATAATTAAGGTTTTTAGGGTATTAATTGATGCTGTTGTTCTGTTGCTTCTAATATTCAGTACACAAAAAACAAGATGATAGTCACTCAGACTAACAACATGGATTACCCCTTTATCTACGACCAAATCAGTACAAATGGTTACAATATAGTCTTGAAGTGTCGCCGTAGACAGGGTGATTCTAGTTAGTTGGTAGATAAGTTGGGTTATAACTTATACCCAAAGACTCTGTAAAGCTGTTACAAAACTTGTCCTCCGTGTTTTGATTATCAAGTAAATCAATATTAAAATCACCGTCCCCGAAAATACCATCGACACTAATATAACTAACTAACTAACTAACTAACTAACTAATATAATCAAAATTAGGAGGATGATACGCAATAACAATTTCCAAGTTAGTATTTTGCAATTTAATATTCAATGAAATAATCTCGAAGGAAGTACTTTTATTTAGTATTTTTATGATATTGGAAACTTAACAATAACACTTCAATTCGGTTTCCTTCGCTTGTTAGGGCGAAGTTTTGTAGCCATTTTTCCTCAGAATACTTTACTTTGAGAATTCTACGGAAGGAAACAAAGTTGCCGTAAGAAAATTTATAGTTTCCTTTTTCATCTCCTCTATACCACGACGATGTTCAATCAGACAGTTTATTTCATTAAGTAAATAAACTGACGGTGATTGTTCGGTTGGTGAGTTGTGTGAAGGAAACGATTTCTTCGAAGTACCCGTTAGTCAAAATGCTTGTCTCTACTGTAAGGTTAATTGTGCCATTTCGAAACCTTCGAGACATCAAAGTGAACAATTCCTAGCGTCGGTATTCGTCGACTAACGATTTAGATGTCAAAGACATCGACCCGCACGCAAGCGTCGGGAAATACGGTAATAAAATAATTGAAAATATCGAGAGAACCGTCTCAAGGAAGCGAAAAACTCGCCACGCGAATGCTAATAAGAGAACCCAGCGTATTTTAACATCGTTCCACCTGTGCCGTCTAACCAAAACGTGAACCTTTATCGGTGACTTTCGCGATGACATCGAGGCAGCGTAATTTGGCGGTATCATTAAGGAACCCCCCATACGTCGGACCTGCATTCCCGCTTAAGTATTTGTTTCCCTTGTGGTTTTCGCGTTTTACGCAGGAATTCGACACTGCACCGGCCGACACCGAGCCGCCTAAATAAGGATATCCTGCGAAACGAAGCTGGGTCGCCAGCAAATCCATCGATAATGCAATTACTTGGCGAGTGAACAACCTTTTAACAGGCTATATCGATCATCAAAATCTGGTTATATTTCTATAATTGTATTTTCTTAAAATTAAGAAATAAATACAATATTTTAATAAAATCGACGAGATAATAAAAACTGATAATAATACGGTTCACATATAAAATATAAAAATGGTGAAAGGACAAATTTAAAATTACCCTTGTTAACGTAGGTATTTGCTAGTACAATATTTCCTTACCTTCTAATTTTATTTTTATAAAAAAAAAATGGAAATATTAGTTTTATATAGTGAGTGTATTTTTAATTACAAAAATATTGATGCATTACAAAAATTTTGTTTCTACACTTTGCCAATCTGGCGACTTTTTGAGCGACAATAAATGTTGTGATAATAATAATAATAATAAGTTTATTTATCAATCAATACAAGCCACAATATCACGACTACAATATAACCAAAAAAATTAACGTTAAAAAAATAAAACAAAAGATTATTTAGTAGAAGTGACAGTAAAATAATTACGATTATTTGATAAATAGACTAAAATAACACCAAAGAAATACTTCTTGTCCGTAAATTTTGGTACATTTTTCCTAGTAGCATTTTCTTCCTATAGGAAAAATCCGCTCTCATTACTATGAATTTGATAATGCCAACTCTTTTCAATAAAAAAAAGATATAATTTTTATGGTAGCAATTTCAAAAAGATAAAAACATTGTTATGTAGTTGTTATATATAGTAGTATAGGCCATTTTGGCCCATACCCTGTACCTACTACCATCAATATGGGGATAAACCATATTTGGGTCAATCATCATTTATTAAATCCGGTAGTTTCTGCAGTTGACGAAGCACTCAGGAGACAGATGACAAGAATATCCTTTTTCACTGCCGAGTCCACTGTTCTTTTTTGCAATCCCCGTGGCTAAAAAACATGTTCCTGAAAGCGTTAAAGAACTGCTTTCATGTACTCGGAAAATACTTTCTCGCTATCGGTTATGCTAATAATTCAAGTTTAAAGAAACGGCCTACAGTTTTTTTCTTTGGGAAAGTAAAACCGCATTTACTGGGCCATAATACGACTTTTCGGACGATTATATAGGAAGAACATAATATTATTTGTTTACTCTTCATGGCTAATTAACTTATCTCTATTAGTCAATTAATTAAACTTATCGGTGGACCAGACGTCGAGTGTCTCTAGAAATATCAAATGATGTATGGATTTAATAATAATTTGACATTATTCCGTCACAGTTCGCAGATGCTGACTTGAAAAAAATGGACGTTTCTGGAGAACATCGAATAAATATTTCCCTGCCTTTGAATTACTTTTTAAGGATCACTAACTATGGCAAAAGTATTGAAAGACCTTCAATTGAAAAAAGTGCACTGCAACAATAAATTTACTTCAAGAATGAGTCAAGATTTAAAATATATGACTTTTTCAGCTAGTGATATTGTAATTTGGCTTTATAATGTTAAAATCATGCAGAAATTTTATATTAGTTAATAATAATAAGTGTTTTCTTCTTCTTGTAATATTCCGAATTGTTCTTGTTTGATCTATTTTTTTGTAAAGCTGTAGACGTATTTCTGATGTGAACTGCCACCTTTTAAAGGGTCTTCCTGGAGGTCTGGTATTAAGTCCCTGGCTGTTCGGGCTAGTCTATCGCAGTCCATTCGTGTTACATGCTGGTGGTTTCATCTTCTCTGTATTGCCCGCCGTAAGACATACCTTACTTTACCTTACAGAGGTTTCTTATTTAATTGTTCGGGATTCGGTCTTCTAATGTTTTCCCCGATATTGATCTCAATGTTTTTCTGTTGTTTTAAGTATCGTTTTTGCTTCTGCTGTGTCGGCTCTCGTTTCTATTAAGAATGTTAGTATCTATCTCATATATTTGTTTCTCCAAATAACGTCCTTCAAAAAACCTCATACATAGGCTGCTTTATTTGGCTGATTCCATACACTTTCTTTTAGATCTGTCTCCCACGTTTTTCCCCGCTATTAATCTCAATGTTCTCTTTTCTGTTGTTCTAAGTATCCTTTTTTACACATGACTTATACTTCTATAGTATACTTTCTCGTCCAATCTCATGTCTTTGTTTCTATTTTCCATAGTCTGGGTTACCTTGTTATTTCTAATTAGATGTCGATACCTGCACATCGAAGATTTCCGCCACTGTTTTAAAGCTACGTGTCAGACACTAACAGCAGTGTGAATGTCTTTAATTATCTTCATCATTCTGCTGGGCTGGCTTTCTTTTCTTAGTAGTTTTAATACGTCTTCTAAACCGACACAATCGGAGACTTTTGTATGGTCGTGAAAGTTTAGATGTAAACTTTTATTTTTGCATTTGGAGTTCATTTGAATTTTTCCAAATTCTTCTGCAATTCTTCAAAAATCCTCCCAGTTGGAACTCCTTCATAAAGCTTTAGCGCTTTATGAAGAAACGCCAAGTTAAAAAACAATCTTTCTTGCATAATTTTTTGTAGATTTCCGAGTAGCAAATTGTCGAAATTTTGCTAGTGTCCACGTCAACAACCAAAATTCGGGCGCAGTTTTTATTTTCCCAATTCCTGCTGCATCGGTTTCATTCAATTATCTGGTACACACTGCGGCTTATTGTGCATAGTTATTAATTAACGAAATAACACGCTCATTTCACTCTGCATCCGTTTCCAGCGGATATCCTATACCGCCCGAAAGTAAACAACAAATTATTTACAGCCATTATGAATTTAGTCCGACACACAAAAAGTAGAGTATAATACGTAAAACTTATTGTTGATATCCGGACGTACATACGTAGTGATACGCGAACTGACCTATACCGTACGGGGGTTGAGCCGGAAGGTGATCAGCGCCTGTGACGAAATGTAGAACCGTGGAAATACTTCCCATCAGGAAACTGAACTGGCGCGGGAATCCTGAAAGTTATGCGATGAATTCGTGTGAGAATCTGACGTGGTTCGGACTCTGCGGTCGCGACTTTTCGATGGTAAGTTTTTGTTCGGTCTTCTTCTATCGCATCTTCACAACGTCGGCGTTTCTTTTTTTTTCCCTTAAATGTTTTATAGTTTATAAACTCAAACTTTCTTAAGCAATTAAGAAAGTTTATCGTAAAGTAGTGCGTAAAATAAATTTTCCCTTCAGGATTGTAATTATATTGTTGAAATTAGTGCCGAACTTTTTAATTTACATAGAAAAGAAAAAAAGAAATTGGGGAAAATACTTCACATGTGCAGAGAAAGAAAAAAATAATAAAACAAATTCACGGACAGTGAAAAAGTTAAAAAACCAAGAGAGAAGTAAGTTAATAATTTAACAGCAAAATATTAAGAAATCAATCAGAAAAAATTATAAAAGGCAAAAAGAAGAAAGATGTATTTGTTCAGCGTGTTTAGGTGAATGACTATATCATTTCCGTTTGACTTTTTTTAAATGTTTTGGATGACCGAAAGTCGATGAGGAACGTGCTCATAATATTGAGACGATTTGCTCGATATCAGTGTGTTTTTCCGCAATAAATTATTATATTATTTTTAGCCAAGGTACTTAAGATACGTCGAGTGGCATTTCATTAGAATTTCGAAATAACAATATTACAGTTAATAAATTAAAGGATTTCACGTAAAAATAATATATATGCTGAGTACGTAAGTATGCAGTTTATTTTATATTTCGTTTCATGATGACAGATGGGCAGGGTAGGGTGGACATCTTGAAGATTATTATTATTATTATTATATCGTAAAAATTATAGGTTCCGATAAACTCCATATTTGGGTTTTTAAGACCTAAACCACTCAAATCGTTGCAACGGAAAGACGGGTTTGCTGAATAGAATTAATGTGTTTTTTATTTTATTTATTTATTATTCTAAGAAACAAATTATTATTATATTTATTAGAACAAAAATATAACTATATAATTATATATCTATATAACTTCTTCTACTTCAATCACATCTTCGTCGCACGTACTCCATTTTTTACAATCCACTGTCTTTATTCTATCATGCAAGAGAGTTTCAAGGTGCCCCATTAATTCTATGCGATTTCATCGACAACAAATTTCGTACAAACGGGATTATTCAAATTCACAATATTCAGTAACTCCCTCTTCAGCATATCTTTCTGAAAGTGCTTTTTATTTAAAATAAGCCAATGAATGATACCATTTTTTCAAGAAATTCAGAACCGCTAGCTATTTTCAGGAAATAACTTTGGCAATGACTTCCGGAAAGTAACTATAATTTCCATTTTAACAACTAAGGCGCAAGTAGGTCAACCAATTATCATAGGTATACTTCGACCAGAAATATAGTGCTTTTACAACCGAACCTATGATTAACTTTGCCTATTGTTGCCTCGCTGAGCAGACCCTCACCCGTAACTATTCCAGGACCGTCCTAGAAACTTATCTACCTACACTAACAAACGAGATATAAGAATGTTTTCAATGTTTTCGCAGAGCAATTCTTGAAATATGTACATAAAAAAATTAGTACAAAGTAACAATTTATTACGTTCTAAGTCACTTGTTTTTATTGCTGCTCCTACTTCTCACTCTGAATTTCTTATAAAATTGTAAACATCCAAAACAATTTGTTTAGCATCCGAAGACAAATAAATGCGTTTTATTATTTGCTGAGATTGTTCGTCTTCTAAATTGTCATTAGGTTCGACTACCATCTAAACTTCGTCTTCAAATTCTGCGTTGTTTTCCATGTCTTTATCTAACAGGTCTCCATTTTTTAAGGCGTTAAAAAACAGGAACCTTCAAAAAATGTTTAATTTTAAGATTCTAATAAATATTTATATGTATTCTTATGACGTACCTTTATCTACCGCGAATGTTATAGTGTGTCGAAGAACTGTGTAGAAGACACAAAAATACAAGAAGAATGTTGTTAATCGACAGGAACACAAGACAAAAATGATTATTTTCAAACTTACCTGTAATATAAAGTAGAGTACTTATCTTTATCCTTTGAACTATTCAGGGTCAAAGCTCGAGAATCATACATAAATACGTACTTACTGGAAGGATCACAGTCAAATAATACCTCTGTAATATATACGAATATATTGCAATTTAAATTAACTTTTTAAGAAAGATACATATCACCTGATGTTAAAATACACGCTTCTACTTATTCGAAAACACGGACTAATCAAATTTAAAATGATCGATTGACGTTTCAAGTAAAAATTTCAAGTCTCTGCAAATATTCGTTACGGTCCATCTCAGGAGACCTATTTAATGCAGAATAAACGTCTGTTGGGATGTTAGAATGCAATAGTACCACTATGGAATACGGCTAATACGACTAAGTTTTACCAAGGTTAAGTATATACCGTGTGTCCTGGCTGCATTTTAATTTAGTCTTTGTCATCTTCCATAATGTTTGTACTCTTTTTATTATTAAAAGTCTAACACTGCGGTCTAGTCAAAGCCCAAATTACAATTTAATAAACAAACTAACTAACCAAAACTAACCAAAATCCACATTAAATACTGCCGCGAGCCGCTTCGAGAGCTTCCGATACTTTAATCACGGGTTAGAAGCGAAACACTGATGGTGTGTTGACATTTTTCAGTTCTGATCGTCACGCCACAAACATTAATGCTCGTAGAAAGAGTATAACATGCAACACGTATATAAATTTCCTCGGTCGTTCGTTAATTAATTTACAAGCTCGTGGCTAAAGTGTCGTTTATAAAACTTTCTAATCTAATGTACGTTATGGGTATTATTAACATTAAAGGATATGGCGCGGTCAAATACGCCGACACAGTTGATATATAAAGAAAAAGGAACGAACAGAAGCCAGTTTTATATGCAAATGCGTGCCTTTTATAATGAGTTTATATAATAACTTGTATTGTTTTAAGGACTTGCCCCGATATTCTAAAATGCACTTTGAATAAAGCGGCCTTGTATATGTACCAACGTTTCTTGAAAATTACGATTTTTCTCTATACGGTGCGACAACAAATATTCACCGTTTTTCCATCTACGTGCGGCTCTGGAGATTTGTGAACTCAAATACGTCGCGGTGCTTCTAAATTTAATTGTTTACTCCGCGTGGAATAATTAAATCAATATATCTTGTGTACCTGAAGAATTAAAGGCGCATTACGAGGCAAGTCATGTTCGTCTCGTCGTTTCGATTCGAAAATCGCGCAAATTCTTATTCATCGTAGGTAGTAACGTTTATTTTTGTGAGATGACTAAATATAAAGTCGACGCCAATATACAATTTATAAGGAGCTTGGTATCTGACATTTTTACTTTATTATGCATCATTAAATGCAGAAAGTGGTTCCCCCCCCCCCACATCAACAAACCGCCACGGGAAAAATATGTACAAATTACTAGAAACATATGAATATGCATATATACTTAGAGTTGTCTGAAAAATACAGAGTAGTTCACTATTGCGGAATTCTTTTATATCTCCATAAAGGTTTATTTTACCGAAAAAAATTTATACGAAAGTTGTTTGCTTAATTGCGATGCACCTAATTTCTTTATTTTAAATTTAACACCCCATTCATTTTCAGATTTCTGGAATATTTAATCCTGATAGTTTCTTAGATTTCTTGATTAGTTTAATCGTTAGCTAAAAAATTTTGATTCGTTTTAATTGCTTATCCAAATTTATATTGAGAACAGGGTGTTTTTTATCAATTCAACATGGTTTGTTCTATTTACAATTTCCAATACATATTTCATAATTTCTGAAATAAGTTTCTGTTAAGGTACCTTGCGAAAGAAAACATCAGATACACAGATATTCTGATATTTCAACATTTTACTTCAAGTGTTTTTTTTTTATTACTATTATCAAAATTGCTGTTGTTAAATATAGTTGTTTATTGCTCCAGACACTTTACCACGCTTTAAGTATTTATAAAAAAAAACACAGAAAAAATACGGCGAAATTGGCAAATGCAATTAAATCAAAAACCGACTAGACGGCATAAAGAAAAGTACGCTTCCTATGAAAAATTCACAAATTTTTCGTCTTTTCATAGTGTTCCAACCAGAACTTGACAGATATAAATATATGATTCGATTTATCTAAATAATATGGTGAAACTAGAGGTCGCTAAGAGCACCGTCTAAATAAGTTTCAAATTCGTAATTGTTATGTCAAAAAACCTAAAACTGCAAATTTTTATTATTAAATGTATTATTAAAATTTTCGCAATTAATGAAAGAATTCAGAAAAAAATTTAACATTTATCGCCCTGTATCCTTGCCATGTTGGGCTCATGATATTTTGGTGTCTAATGCCTCCAGTTTGAAGGTTATCCATTTTTTTATGAATCAAGCTTAATATCCGATATTTCGATTGGCCTTAATCCTTACGAGATTCTTATATCATTTTTATTTTTCAGAAATTCTGACTTATTTCTCAAATATTTGCCACGTTCAAATAAAATCTATATTTTATTTTTCGCCTATCTAGAAAAACCATAAAAAACGTAATAAATCATGTGCCGCGTATGTACTCATTCGCATGTATATATATAGTGTTTCACCCCATGTAACGATGGCTTTGTAAGTATTTAATTTATGAATACAGACACACAGTGAACAAACATCGATAAGTGATAACTTGATACTTGTAAAGGGACAGTAAAACCAAGATAAAATGGCCGTTCAAAAGGCCTACCTTGTCGTACACTCGTGCCTGGCATAACTGATTAGCATTCACACTTCACAATAAAAACGCGTATAGCAACAGGGTATGTACTTATGAATGCGCTTTCAAACTGAATGAATTCTGTGGGACCCAAGTTTTTGCAAGCCTTTAGCAAATTATGCAAATCTGGATATAGAAGCGACAATGAGGGAAATACATTAAATAATTATAAGCATTGTATACAAACGCAAATATTTTTCTTTTCGAAAAATCATTGAACAAATTGCCTTTTTGGAATGACGCCATTTATGAATTAATTAATAATAAGAAGAATAATAAA